CCCACAAAAACTGTGACAGATTTAAAAAATACTTACAAAATAAATACACTGAAAGTTTATTTCTTTCCTATTTGTAAACGATAACCACTTGGAAAACAAAATGCGAAAGATTTCAAAAATCATAATAGCATAGAAAAAGGACCTCTCAGATAATACTAAGTGAGAAATTTGTAGAACTATAGAGAAAATTAAGACTTTATTGGGGGACATAAAATAAAAATTTAACGAAGGGACACCCTATTCCTGCTAGAAAGACTCATTGTTATGAAAGTGTTAATTACCAAAGTCCCAATAAATTTTTTTTTCTGGGGGTGGGAAATTTACTAAATATAATTCCAATAAAAATTACATCGGTTTACTTATTTGTTTGTTTATTTATTTATGGCTGTGTTGGGTCTTCGTTGCTGCGTGCAGGCTTTCTCTAGTTGCAGCGAGTGGGGGCTACTCTTCATTGTGGTGCAAGGGACTTCTCTTGGCGGTGGCTTCTCTTGTTGCAGAGCACGGGCTCTAGGTGCGTGGGCTTCAGTATTTGTGGCATGTGGGCTCTGTAGTTGTGGCTCGCGGGCTCTAGAGCACAGGCTCAGTAGTGGTGGCGCACGGGCTTAGTTGCTCCGTGGCATATGGGATCTTCCCGGACCAGGGCTCGAACCTGTGTCTCCTGCATTGGCAGGTGGATTATTAACCCCTGCACCAGCAGGGAAGTCCCTCCATTGGTATTTTTAAAAGCTTGATAAACCAATTCTAAAGTTCACTTGGAACTCTCCGTGACTGCCAAGAAAATGTTGAAAATAAGGATAATGAGGGAGGACTTGCCCAACCAAGATATAACATGTTATAAAGGTACTATAATTAAATCCCATATTGCTTTATTATAAGACAGATCAGTGGAACAGAACAGAAGGCCCAAAGACAGACCCCAGTGTATATAATTATTTAGCATATAATAAAGTTGGCATTTGAGATCAGTGGAGAGGGGATGAATTATTCAGTAAAAGATGCTGGCACAATTGATTACCTATTTGGAAAAAATGGCAAATTAGGTTCCCATGTCATTAAAGATAACCAAGAAATTACAGATGATAAAAGAGTTTAAAGTGCAAATGATGCCATATAAAAGTTAAAAAAAATTGTATTTATAGGAATTTGGGTCATATGGGAAGGCCTTTTGAAGTGTAGTTGGATTAAGTTTTCTTTGTCCATTTTTTTCTTTTAGTGGTCTGCAAGTTATATATAATACTTCTATTCTTATTTTTATTCCTAATTGTTAACACACATATTCAAACTTACAATGTCCTAAATGCGGTTTCTCAATACCTATAAACTCCTGAGGAATAAGACAAGACTCTTAGCATATTGCAATTTTATAGTCTTTTTCCCAACCCCATCTCTTATGACTTAAGTCCCTCTTCCCCCGCCCCGCTTTTCTTTTTGTTCTCTCTTTCACCACTGTTTGTTATGCCCCATTCATTCATTTTGTTGTTGTTTTGCGGAGTGTATATTCTCTATTACTTCTTTTGTGGGAAGTAAATTTTCCAAGTTCTTATATTCTGGAAATGTATTTATTTTGTACTTTCACTTGAATGCTAGTTTGGCTGTGTATGGGGTTTTAGGTTCAAATGACTTTTTCTAAACCTTTGAAGACATTGCTCCATTGTATTCTAGAATTCAAAGTTGCAGACAAGAAATCTGGTGTTAAAATTATTTTTGTTCCTTTGTCAGTAATCTTTCTCCTCTTCTCCTCCTGCCACTGCTGGACACATCCTCACAGTGATCTCAGAGCCTTGAAAATCCTCACCATTAGTTGTTTTTTTCATTCACATCTATTGACACTTGATAGTTTCTTTCAATTTAATGACTCAAATTCTTCTTAATCTGTAGAGGACTTCCTTCTATTTTCTTTAATTACACATTCTTTACCGTTCTCTCTGTTCTTTCCTGAGTATCCTTCTATATGGTTGTTAGAATTTGGGGATCTATCCTACAGTTTTGTATCGTTTCTTTTATTTTTTCTTGCTTTTTTGCAGAATTCAGGGAAAATCACTCAATTTAGACTCCAGTGTACTAAGTTCCTCTTTAGCTGTCTCCATTCTATATCAGCCCAACCACTGAGTTTCCAATTTGGGCAGTCATATTTTTCATTTCCTGACCTTTGTTTTTCTTTGACTCTTCGTTTTGTTTCAAAATGAAAGTGGGCTTATTTTCCCTGATTATATAATTAATACTCATTGTCAACATTTCAAACAATACAGATGTAAGATTGTAAGTAAAAATAATCTGTAGTCCTACTGCCCAGAGATAACCATCAGTGGCATTTTTTGGCCACTGCTCATGTTTTTCTCTCAGCAGTCACAGATATACAGGCACAGAGAGGGACCACCCACCCCCCCACACACACAGCACACACTGTTTGACACAAATGTCTTCAGACAAAGCATATATTATTTATAAAATACAGTAAATACTAAAACAGGGGAGAAAGCAAAGGAGAAAGCAATTGGCCCCTTTGGAACTCTTGTTTTAAACCACGAGCATTTAAAATGTTTTTATTACAGAAAATATACGTAAAAGTAGAGATTAGTATAATGAATCCTTCTGTGTCCATCAGCCAGGGTCAGTAATGACCAGTCGAGACTCATTTTTTTTTCCCATCTATAACCCTCCCCTTTCTATCTCCTTTATGTCACACTGAATTATTTTGAATAGAATCATCTTATCCACAAAGATTATAGGATGTATTCTTAGAGGTAAGTATTCTTTAACAAAAATAATCATAATACCATTATTACATCAAAAATTATAATTCCCTAATATCAATAACAATGGTTCTCTCATACCATCAAAAAGTGAATATATCCACTTTTCTGATTGTCTCATAATTTTAAAAAACTATTAGTTTGTTTAAATTAGGATCCAAACGAGGTCTACATATTGCATTTAGTTGATATGTTTCTTAAATCTCTTTGAATGTATGTTTCTCCTCTGCCCTGCTCCTTTCCTCTTGCAGTTTTCCATTTTTGTTTGTTTGGTTGTTGTTGTTTTGAGCAGTTTTAGGCATATAGAAAAATTGATTGGAAAATACAGAGTTTCCATATACTCCCTCAACCCCATTTCCACCCTAGTTCCCCCTATTATTAACATTTGCAAGTGAAATAAATCAAAAAGAGAAAGAGAAATACCATATGAACTCACTTATATCTGGAATCTAAAACAAAAACCAAACCAAACCAAAACTAAAAAGCGAACTTGTAGATACAGAGAACAGATTGGTGGTTGCCAGAGGTGGGGGTGGGGAGTGAGTGAAATGGGTGAAAGTGGTCAAAATAAAAAGTTCTGGGGATGTAATATATAGAGAGTTGATTATAGTTACTAGTACTGTAGTGTATATTTGAAAGTTGCTAAGAGAGTAGATAAAAGATCTACTTATCTACATACTTATTACAAGAAAAAAATTATAACTATTTTTGGTGATGGATGGATGTTGACTTACAGTGATGATCATTTTGCTATGGTCATATATATATATATATATAGGATCATTATGTTGTACACCTGAAACTAATATAATGTTATATCAATTATATCTCAATTAAAAAAATGAAGACATCTATATTCAATATCCTATGGCAAACCATAATGGAAAAGAATATTAACAAAAAAGAATGTAAAAAAAAATGAAATGGCGTGCCTTAGAATCGTTAGGAGTATTAAATGAATTAATATATGTACAGTGCTTGTAAAGAATCTTGCATTAGTGTGGTACATTTGTTACAGTTGATGAGCCAATAGTGATACATTGTTATTAATTAAAAGCCATTGTTTATACTAGGGTTCACTTTTTGTTTTGTATATTCTCTAAATGCAGCTGTCCCTACAGTATCATCCAGAAGAGGACAGATGCTCTCCTCTCCTTTTCCAGTTTATTTGTTGAAAAAACATCTTGTAGCTTACCACATTCTTGTGTATTAAAATTTTGTTTTTTCTCATTGCCTCTCTGTGGTGTCATTTAAAATGCGTCTGTCACTTGTAGTTGCGGTAAATTGGTAGTTGGATGAAGATTCTTGAACTGATTCAGGTGTGATTATTTTGGCAAGAATACTTCACAGGTGGTAGGATTCTTCATAGCACTTTCATCAGCAGGCAGGTAGTGTCTTTTTCTGATATTGGCAGCGTCGATGATTGTTGCCCAGGTCCATTATATCACTAGTGGTAACCTTGAGGTTTCCTGTCCTGTTTTCATTTACTGAGAATGTCCTTTAGAAAGATTCTGAGCATGGTGCCCATCCTCCAGGAGTCCACAGTCTAGAGTTTATAAAAATAGATTTGAACAACAACAAAAAATAGTTTTATTTTGTATGTATTCTCTAATTGTCCCTCCCCCTAAGTAATATAGTCCCCAAATAGTGGAGCGTTTAACGCATACAAATTCAAACATATGTATGTACACATTTGGTTTCAAGCTGCTAAAGTAATGTAAACATGAAGCCTGTTTCTTCCACTTAGTTGATGGTTGCTCCTGGGTGAGATGCAGGTGTGGGTCCGCCGTTCCTGCTCACTCTTTTTCTACATGCCCTTCACATTATGCATCTAAGTGTGATTCTAGTGATTAAATGTACATACTTCATAAGCGTTATGGACCTAAACACAAGCCAACAGCTAGCTTCCTGTGGTGCCCGATCTGAAAAACAACATTCTGTTCCAAAAGTAGTGGAAGATCATACAACTTAAGCGATCTTCACTAAAGTGTAATTTTGAGCATATGTGATCTTTTGAACCCTAGTTAACATTACAAGAGAAGTAATTTGCAGGTTGTAACATCCGTGTACCCAAGAGTTTGACTTCGATAAAAGACAAGGTGCAGAAGCTGAAGGCATTGTTTATTTTGGTATAAAGCCTTTACTTGTCGGGAAGTCCAGGTTTAATGATTTCTTCCTCTCTTCCCCTCCTTCCCTACTCTCCACTTTCCTTTTCCCCCACTCCTACCCTTATTTTCTCTTTTGCAGTCTGCTGTTTTGTCGTGCACAAGCGGTGCCATGAGTTTGTCACTTTCTCCTGCCCAGGTGCTGACAAGGGTCCAGCCTCCGATGTAAGTAACGGGCCCCGGTCATCTCTCTCTGTCCACAGTCAATGCATCCTTTTGGGTATCTGTGAGTACACTGAGACGGAAAAGTCAGGATGTCATGGTCCTATAGCCTCTGAGACGATTTTCGTTTTAATGGGAAAGAACAAAACAACAAAACATTTTGAGGGGGGTGTGTGACTTCAAGAAACCAGCTAGTTTCCCTACTGTGATTCTGCAAAATGTCTTCATGTTTATGGCTGAGGCATGAGAGTGGTGGGCAGCGGCTAAATTTTTATGGCTACTATAAAAAGGTAGTTAGGATGGTACCTTACAGTGTACTTTTTAGCTCTTTGGTAGGGAATTTTTTCTACTAGGGCCCAAGAATTAGGAAGAAGTGAGCTTATCCTGCTACTGTGTACCCCAGAGTATGATTACTGCTGGTGGGACAAGGGATGCTTCTGGGTAAACCTGGCAATTTTTGTTTTGATCATTATGGATTTATTTTAATATGGATTGGAAAATGTGTCTAGTAATGGTTTTGCATTTATGGTGGGGATAGAAAATTTCCTATCTAGGTAAAGGTAGTTAGGTTAAATAAAAAATAAAGAGACTCAAGGAAAATATTAAGTGAATGGCAGCGTGAGTGCTCTAAGGATACGGCAAAGTCTTGGTGCAAGTTTACCAAAAGTTTGGGGTACCATGTGGATTGCCTACCCAACAGCCATTCCTAACCCCCACTCTTTTTCTGGCAGAGGCCACGTCTCATGCTAAAAGCTGAAGATGCCTGATACTTGTTTTCCCAGGCTCCCTTGCAGCTAGTGAGCGAGCACGTGACCCAATTCTGCTCAGTGGGAACTGCAGGGAAGTCTGGACAGGGCTTCTAGGAAGACTTTCCTTTCTGATAAAGGAAGACACTCCTTACTTTGTTCTGTTGGACATTTTTGTGGGAGGATATAATGCACAGAGTTGTGGCAACCGTTTGAGTCAATGAGGGAGACACGGCTGACATCCTGAGCATGGCAGGGTGGAAGAGTTGAAGGGATCTCGGTCATCGATGACATTGGTGAGCTGCTGAGCCAACGCTGAGTTCTCTTATGCCCAGACTCTGTATGTGAGATAAGAAGCACCTCTTATTGGTAAAGTCTCATTGTTTGCGTTATTCTTTTCCATGGAGCTGAAACTGTCCTGGACCTTCCACCATGCACACTCTTCCATTGGCCCAGTCATGAACTGCGTTCAGCGTACCCTGTGTGCAGCTGTCACCCCTGGTTCTCTTATTTTGTTCCTGCTTTGGTTCACCTTCCTGGAATTTTCCCCATTGGCTTTGTCTCCCACTGGTCCTGTCCTGGTCCCTTAGACTTGCCAGCTGACCTGAGGTTGCATGAAGTCGGTGGTGATAACTACCTCTGTTATTGCATATGTTCTTGCTGGCCTTCTGTAAGTGGTCATCTGCCATTTGGCTGCAAATCAGGGGCATACCACGCACACTCTAGAGCTAATACTGAAGTTGCTTTGCTTGGAGACTGTGGTACTTGGGTTTAAAAACTCCAGGCATCAGAGAACAACCAAAGCCTTCACAGGCTCGTTTGCAGAGACAAAGATGGGACCATTCTTCATGTTCTCTCAGATCACACTCCCTGACCCTTTTAGTGCAATTCCATCTCTTGTCCCCAGGAAAGCAGGCAGGGAAGACTGGGGGGACAGCATGGCTCCATTATGCAAGCTCTGAATGTTCATGCAGACCAAGCCTTGGTCCTCAAAGAGCAGCCAAGAGGATGGTGTTTCCCATATCCTGTGTTTATTCATTGACGTTTTATGTTGCCTAAGATAGAAAGAGCTCAAACTGTTTTATGTGAAAAGGGAAATTTTGGTCCCTGAAACTGAAAAGTTCCAAGGGTAGACTGGCTTCAGACACAGTGAATCAAGGGGCCGAAATGAGGTCTTCAGGAATCTCTTTCTCCATGTCTTGGCCCAGCCTTCCTCTGTCCTGGTTTCTGTTTCAAGAAGATTTTTCTCCTAACGACAGCATGATGGCTGTGGTACCTTTAGTCATAATGTCTTATCAGTGCTGCAGTTCCAGTGACAAGAGCTAAAGTCTCATTGGACCCTGGGTCATATGTAACCAGAGGATGGTTATGCTGATTGGCAGGCCTGGTTATGTGCTTACTCCTGGCGAGGAGGGCCGGTGTGCCTACCCCATGATTTGAGAGTGGGGGAGAGGTGGTCCCTCAGAGGAGAACTAGAGAAGCAGCAGTACTGTGTACTGGTTAAAATCGCAGGCTATGGATGGAGCCTAGACATGTGTAACCTTGGGCAGAGTACTTAACTCCCTTGTGCTTTATATTCCTCAGCTGAAAATGAATAAAACACTACCATATAACTTTGCTACGAGTATCCAGTGTATACATATAAGACAGTGTCTGGTACGTATGTGAAGATGATAATGACAGTGCTAATGAATTACAGTGAATACATGCTGGGCAGACAGCAAGGACAGATGTCTACCAAATATGTCTGAAGAATGAATGGGTCCTCTGCCTGCCACCTGGCAGTTGTCCTTCCTAGGAGTGTGTAGGCGCCGTAAGTTGTAGGAGACCCTGCTCTTTGTGAATGGAGCCGTGCAGCCGTTCATTGCCTCGGGCATGGGGAGAGCAGGCAGTACTGCCTGCAGCCAGCATGCATAGGATTTGGCAGCCTACCTGAAATGATTCTATCTCTGGACACAGTTCCAAGGAGGCCGGTTGGCACTGAGGATGATGAATTGGTCCAGACTCCTGAACTGACTTGACTTGGTTCATTGACCTTTTTCTGTCCAGGGGTGGAGACATGATTAGAGATCTGGCCACACCTACTTGCCAACCTGGCCAGGCTCTCTGAGGTATGGAGGAGTGCCTTCCTCCTTTGTGACCTTGGAGGAGCTGGCGTGCAGCGAGCTCATGAAGTAGAAAAGCACAGTCTCCATCCGTGAACAAGGAATGTGCTAGGTTTTGTCCTCTACGTTCTGCTATTCCAAGTCCAGTCTGAGTCAGGGAATATTCTGGATATTAGTAGATCTTTGTGTGGTAGGCATCCTTCTAGGTCTCCATCATGTCATATTAGGCTACCTGAGGGAATTTTATGAATCAGGCTTTGTCCCAGTGAACCCAGCTACTGACCCAACCATTCAGTGCCCATGGGAACAGGCAATACACATGGGCACCCACCACTGGGGGACCTCAAAACACAGCAGAGTTCCTGGGTGGTACTTCTGGTCATCTGTAGGCATCTTCCTTGTTCTTGGTCTCATCTGCTTGGAAACGCTCAATCCTGCTGTCTCTTCGACCTCTCAGGGAGACCAAGTCTCTGGTATTGCCGTAAGCATTACATATGGACATTACAGTTACCCAGCACTTAGAATACTGACCACATACACAGTGTCCTGAGAGATCTTCTCAGAACAAGAAAGAGAGGACTTGTCTCTGAGGGCTGGGACTAGGATGAGTCAAGTGAGGTACTTGTCTTGGGCACAAAAATTAAGGGATTCTTGCTTGTGTCTGTGGATGTCTGGTGGCTGGTTGATCTAGGATGGCCCCATTCACATGACTGTCAGTGAGCCGGTTGGTGGCCTGGGTGCCTTGGCTCTCCTCCACATGGCCTCTCATCCTCCAGCTGGCCAGCTCTGCCTTGTTCACATGAGGTTTCAGGGTTCCAGGAGTCCCAGTGCATCAGTGCTTTTTCAGCCTGTACATCATGTTTGATAATGTACCACTGGATCAAGTAGTCTCATGGTCAAGCCCAAATTCAAGTGGTAAAGAAGTAGACTTCACTCTTCATTGAGGGGAAAGAATCTCTGGTCAAACTACTGAAGGTCCTGTTGACCCAGGGGACCACTGTGGAACAGAATCCCTGGAGGCCATCACACTGGACTTCAGAAAAGACCTGTGGGTCTCACTGTAGTTCAGAGTCACAGATGACCTCAGTAGGAGAACAGACCTCATTTATTGCCTGCCCCAGGTCCCTGGCTGACTTAGTGCCCTCCAGCTACAAATGGGACTTGGGCAATTTAAGGATCATGCCCAGAGACAATGGTGGTTAAGAGTGTGGATTCTGAAGTCAGTCTTACCTGAGTTCAGGTCCTGACTCTGCCAGTTACTCATGAGGTGACCTTGGGTGTGTCATTTTCCTTCTCTGTGGCTCAGTTTCCTTATCCATAAACTGGGATATTAGTACCAACCACATAGATTTGTTGTAATAAGTTTTAAGAAATCCTTAAAATGAATAAGAGTTAAGTACAACCACAACAAAAGGATTAACAGCAAATGGATTAAAGAGTCATTGCATGAAAGTGTTAAGCACAAGTGTCCTTGCAAGCCCCGGGTGCAGGTAGCTGAGGGCATTTCCATTGCTCTACTTACCTCCCTAGTCAGGGATATACTGATAATTCTGTCCATGCCTCCACTCAGATCATTCCCTTAGGACGTAATGACTGTTTCCATTTCCATTACTTTACACAAAACCTCAAATTCTATGGTGCAATGCTGAGAGAAGAACCTAGACTTTGGAGCCAGAAAAAACTCAGTGTCAAAATCCAGTGCTGATGCTTACAGCTCCATTGATCTTGGTAAAATAATTTCAGTTCTGTGACCCTTAGTTTATATCTTTAAAATGGGGAAAATAGTACGTATGCCATAGTTTTTTTTTGGTGAGCATTCAATGAGAGTCTGCTTGAACCACGTCCAGAATAGTGTCTGGCACAAAGAAGGCACTCAGTAAATGGTTTCTAAATTATTATTAATCCTTGGAGGAGTCTCTCCTACTCAAGAAGGGGGATGCAGGACCTGCCAAGGAATAATAGGTAATAACAATAGCTGACTTTGCTGAGCAGAGGCTCTGTGCCAGGCAGTACAAAAGTACGAAAGGACTCTTGAGCTGGTTTGTCTGAAGATAATGTCTTCAACATTTTGTGGTTTTAGAAATAATAATTTCTTATCATGCATATCAAGGTACTGAATAAAACTCACTGTTATGCCCTGTGCCCTCCTGAT